ACTGTCGAGATGGAAAACGAGTCTACAGTTTACTAATCTTGATTGAATAATGTTACTCTGTTTTTTATGTATGTACCTATGTTATGAACTCCTCCAATGCCTTACGCACATGTGACTTATTTGCAATTTAAGTACTGACTCTATTTCGTCTAGTAAGTTGGACAAAATATTAGTTATAGACCTAGCGTAAGCACTGGAATAATGTGTAATTTTAGTTTGTAACAATGACGAAATTCACTAACCGACTTCCAATAAAGAGGGGGTTGAAATCGGTTCTTTTAAACATAGTTTATAAATGAATTATTTTATATAAAGACATGTCATATTATATACAGGTAATATCTCGAGTTTTTATAATGAAAGAAGCCACAAATCACACAGTATTTCAATGATTGACAGTATTTACGATTGCCAACCAACAAACCACTAGGTAATATCAACAAAACATGTTTATTTACAGCACTGAGCAATGACTAATATACATGCAACTGTAAAATCAATGGCTTATCCAATTTCATTGTCAATACGTACAGACTGCAGACAAGGTCGGGGGTACAATGCGGACGTCAGATTCAGATGTTGCAGCGTATGACATCCATGGTGACGTCACACCAGTTTATGCATTTTAGTTTAATTTTATTTTTTATTTTTTGAGATTAGAGGTTCTTATGACTCGATAGTTTGCCTCGTTGGCCGAGTGGTCGCAAGTGTGACTGCCGGGCAAGGGATCTCGGGTTCGATTCCCGAGTCGGGCGACGTATTAATGGTTTTTTTTTCTAATATTCTCGGTAGGCACGGAGTTTTTATCCCGATCCGGTTTTATCCCCGAAGGGGTAGGCAGAGGTGTACATTGTGCCACTGTACAATGTAACACTCACTTTTCACTATTTATGTTATGAGTCCCATGTAATAGGGGTGAGCCTATTGCCATATACCGGGCACAACTCCAGACTCCGTCCTACTACTGAGATTTTTTTTTTAAAAACCCAGTAATACTTTGCCCGACCCGGGAATCGAACCTGAGACCCCTTGCCTGGCAGTCGCACTTGCGACCGCTCGGCCAACGAGGCAGTATTATTTTTTATAATACTATGATAATGCCAAGCACTACATTACTTCTACGGTATTCATGTGTTAAGGATCTTTAGTGTAAGGCTATATCTTGGACAATAGTTTCCTTTTTCTTGTATAGAAGCACTATTTCTATGGATTGTCAGTATGCATATGTGAGCACCATGTTAGACTTTAAGATTTTTTTTATTTTTTATTTTAGTAAGTTAGTAGTATAATGCGTCAAGCGTGTCTTTGCATTGTTCTTACATATGCGTACAGTATTGAAATATGTATCAGAGACATTGTAGAACATACTTTTTTAAAAAGAGTAACGAATGGAGTTTCTAGCTCGTTCTTCTCCATTCGAATATACATTTTGGAATGAGCACCTAACTTTACCTAGTTTCACTGACGGACTGACTGACAGACTATTATTAATTTTGTATTTGTTGACATTTCAAAAGTACCAAACTGTGGTTTAATTGAAATAAATGCTTTGACTTATACTTTGAATAGACAGAATAAAGGTCGAAAATCTTTTCAATGAAATCATCATAAATTTTCAGGTGACTCAGTATGTACATATCTACACGCTGAAACAGCTGATAGTCATTATATTTGTCTCTAAATCATTCGCTAAGTAAATAATGTAGATTTCATAATTATGTATACAAGTGTTTTATACCTGTGAGTAGGTATCTATTCACAACAGTCATAAATTCTTCAGGGTGGAGTATTTAAATCATATTATTTTAAATAAATGTGTTCGTATAAGAAAATATTGTTTGAAAAGAAAAGAGTTCTTTTGATTTTCATATCTTCTATAAACTAACAAAAAAATAATTTAATTTACGGTAATAATATCCATTTTAATGGATAGGTATATGAACCATAAACCGAGTTTACATCAATTTAAATTGAATTGTATGGAAATGATTAATTATTATGTGGTAATAACTAAGTAGGTGTATCGTTATTTAAGAAAATAATAATTGTACAAAATTTTTGGTTTTCAGCTTCAAAAATCAGGTGAAACATTGGAACATGGACAATTCTCCCATCCGCAATTAGAGGTCGAGTTTGCTACAATCAAGCCTTTCAACAACAATCTACCTTTTTAACAAAACTACTCGATACCTCTTCAGACCTTTACAAAAATAAATACCTTTCGTGCTGACCCTCAATTATACAAATTCATGTATTGTTACTACTTTCTAACATCTACTTGTTATCATGAGAATGTTATGATAAGTGCCATAGGCACAGTGGCTGCCTTGCTGGCAGCTATACAGATTTTGTACAATAGAAATTAATGATTATACTAAAGATTTCCTCAAAGTGCAACAACCACGTCTCCGAAATCCATGTCAAAATCGATTCAGCTAATCGTTCGATACACATTATAATTATAGAGGTACAGGTGAATCTGAGAACCTTCTATTTGAAGTCGATAAAAAACGATATCTATGACTGAAGCAAATGTGCTGGCAAAAACGTTTTACCTATTTTGATTTCGTAAACATATTCTTTTTACATAAAGTATTCGAAATATAATCACACTATGAACAACTAGTTTAGCGATATGCTTAATTTTTCGATTTTGATAAAGTTCAGCCTTATAAAAAACATTCGGCCTAATTACACACTCCTCTTCCCCAATCCCTAACAATCCTTAAATTCGTAATCATAAAAAGTAACGCATGGGCGACGCTGATTGCTTACCATCAGGTGATCCGTCTACACGTTTACCGGCTTATCCAATCACAAAAAAAATTAGGTACTTCCAATATGTTTATAAACCTAATAACAAAACTTTCAGTAGGTAGCACCTATCCACTATCTAAAGTACCCTACTTACCCTCAAAAGAATAAAAATAATGAATACTACATCGTGACCTCTAAGTAAGGTAACCCCCCACATAGTTTCCCACACATTCCGAGTGTTTACTTAGAGCGTCGTACGCGCATCACAGACGCTTTATAGCGGAACCGAAACTAAAAAAATATCTGGATTCGTAACCAGATCCTATATTTGAAGTAATATCTAAATCCTACACTCTATCTAAGTCACATTAGGACTGCCTGGTTGGCTGAGTGCGACTGCCGGGGCAAGGGGTTTTGGGTTCGATTCCCGGCTTGGGCAAAGAACTATTGCGTGTTTTAAAACATTATCAGTGGTAGCACAAAGTCTAGAATTGTGACCGTTATATGGCAATAGGCTCACCCCCTACTTATAACATGGGTCTAATACATAAATCGTGAAAAATGGGTGTTACATTGTACAGCGACATTAAGTGCTGTAATGGGCACCTCTTCCTACCCCTTCGAGAATAAAAGGCGTGATGTTATGTTAGGTTATGTTATGTACGAAGGCAGTCTAATATATAAAGTTGGATGATTTTCGATATAGGAATTTAAATGACAATAGTTATAATTACATTTCTTAGCTATATTTTTTAAATAATTCGGACGTATGATTTATTTCAATAACGATTATAGTTTTTTTTAAACCAAAATATTATTCCTATACCCGTATCCGTAACCAGATTCGAAATGTGACGATGGTACCGCACTAGTGTTGTGAAAAGAGACGCTCGCTGATATCGGATCCCTTGTTGTGAACTACAATGTAATGCTGGGTCTGCAATGCGCATGACGGGACTTTTTCTGACTAATCACAATATTTTTAGCGACTTCGAAAGAGGAAGGTTTGTAATTGCACTGCATTTTGAACTACATCACGATATAAGTAGCAACTATTTAATCCTATAAAAGCTAGCTAGAACTAAATCATCGCTTAGGCTTAGTATCAACTTTCAAATTATTCGTTAAGTATAAGATTAACAGATGTTAAATGTAGTATTATAGGATAAACACACTCTAAATTTCCACTAATAAACACTCAAATATTATCAAAGACTCACTAATTAATAACACATCATAATATAACATCACGCCTTTTATCCCCGAAGACAGGCACACAGAGGTAACACCCACTTTTCACTATTAATGTTATGAGTCCCATGTAATAGGGGCCTATTGTCATATACCGGACACATTTCCAGACTCCGTGCTACTACAGAAATTAAAAAAAAACCCAATAATTTGCCTGACCCGGAAATCGAACCCGAGACCCGACAGTCGTACTCGCGACCACTCGGCCAACAAGGCAGTCTAAGTCATACTAATTAATATCGTTTAAAAAAGATGACAACACAGATAGAGCACAGAAAAAATATAACATAGATGTAATTACACTTTACACAAATTTAATTAAAATCTACACTAAAATACTTAAATCTGAAGCAGAATTCTGTGTAAATAAAACATAAATATATAATTCTCCCACAATTTTTCCAATAATTAAATTCTACACACGTATCGAATATATTAAATTATGTGTATCAATACATAACATTGTTATTACTGAATATATAATATATGTATGTATTTAATCGATATACATAATTTATATCATGTCATAATAATGTATATTGATTGACATGCGTGTCAATTAAAATACGTAATATTATTTACTGATTGATTTCAATATTTATATACTATAGTCTGCCTGTATATGGGTGCTAAAGAAATACGTAGAAAGGTATTAGGCTAATATTAGCAAGCCTATGTATTTGGCATAATATTACTATTTTATTGCTGTTTTTTTCAGGTAAATTTTTATTGCATTACATGAAATTATGAAGATTTTATGACATTAATAGTTTGTTCGTAATCAAAAGTCGTTCATATTAAATGATAACTAGTACCTAATCCGATGTACGCGAATATAATAATTTCCAAAACGAAATTTAAAAAAAAACATCCATAATAATAAAAGAAGACCACTCTTACCGACCACGGAAATATCACAAAAAATTAATATAACAAACCAAACCAAACTAAAACAAGCACTGAAATTAATAAAAAAAAATAATTAAACCGACCTGCGCGTACGCAACTCCCGCGAACGCGAGTAGCGCGCAAGACGCGACGATTGCGCGCGCCGCCATACTGCACTGAGCGAGAATTGCACTGCGATTGCGATTAGCGATACTCTGCGTTTGCGCACCTGTCCAATATTAGTACAGTCGATGCACAACTGCATTATATCAAACGCTTTATATTTAGGAATATTGCTGTATTTACGTGTATTACTACTATGAATGAATAATATTGTAGGTATATATAATTATATTTGGAAGAGTTGCAATCAATATTCTATCATGGAATCGGTTCTGCATGCATTATCGTTTATTTATTTAACCTCATCCCGAGGTCTGGTTTATTCACATATGTGAATATCAGTAGCTTTCTCATCATCACCATCGTAAATTGCTCATGAAGTTCACTGCTGGAGTATTGGGTCTCCGCTAGAGGGTTAACCATATTTCAATGCTCGGAGCTCTTGCTAGGGCTGGGGATCGCAGTTTAAAAGGTTCAGGTTTACCTATAGTTATTATAAATAAAAATATATCTCTGTGTTTATCAAAGAATGGTAGTAGCCAGGTAAGTATTTGCGAGTCTAATAAATATTTCTATCACGATATCAAATAGTGTTATTGCCATGGTGCTAAACAATAAAAAGGTATTTCATAGTATTCAGAAGACCGACGACGTGGAACAATACTTGCGTTGTGTTTCATCGTGTGTGTGAGGATACCGGAGGCCCAATTACCCTCCCACCCTTCCCCTATCCCGGAATGCCCAACAATCCTCTAATTCTGAATCCCAAAAGGCCGGCAATGCATTTGTAAGGCCTCTAGTGTTCCACGTGTCCATGGGCGACGCCGATTGGCGATTGCTAACCATCAGGTGATTCATCTGATTGTTGACCGGCTTATTCCCGAAAAAAGTATAAATCTATAGTATTTATTATTTATTATTTATTATTTATTTTATGTTAATACGGTTTACACCAGTTACATTAACATATACAGATATCAAAACAAACATCGTATGTAGCTACAAATCACATGACAAAATAAAGATATAAAAGAAAAAATAAAGCACATCACAATAATAAAATATAAATTAAAAAACAATAAACAGTAATAGAGGTAACAGTATTAAACATTTTCACAAAAACTTAAACATAAACGCTGAACAGTTTTAAAGTCATTAATAAATAGCTCACAGTCGGGGTAGGTTTCCAAGAGGCCATTGAGCGCGGACAAGACGCGGGGAATAGGGGACGATGCACGGGCCACTGTGCGGCATGCGGGCACAGACAGTGGGCGGTGCCGACGAGCACGGAGGTAGTTAGTCGGAGCATGTAATCGCATCAGTTCATTATGAAGGTCAGGAGCATCTATGATACCTCTGCAGATTTTAAGCATAATGTACAGTTGTCCAAACGCTCTTCTGGTCTCCAGCATATTGTATCCCAGACATCCACACAAGTATTTTGTTGGGTACATGTATGGATAGTAGCCTAGAGAGGATTTGTAAAGGAATCTTAAGAATTTCTTCTGAACTTTTTCAAGTAGTAGAGAATAGGAGGCCTCGTGTGGATTCCAAATGCAGGAGCTCGCCTCCAACTTGCTCCTGACCAGCGTGCTGTAAAGGAGTCTTATGACGTGCGTATTCTTGAAATCTCGTGAGTTTCTCAGAACGAAACCAAGTCTCTTAAACGATTCCTTAGCAACCGTTGCAATATGATCGTGAAATGTCAGCTTCTGGTCAAATACGACGCCCAGGTCTCTCATAGTTGACGATCTAGATATAGAAGAGCCGTTTATTTTATAGTCGAAGGTAATGGGGTGTCGCTTTCGACCAAAAGTCATGACATAGCACTTAGAGGGATTGAATTCCATTTTATTTGCATTTCCCCAATCATTCACCAGGTCGATGTCCCTTTGAATAGCCTCACAGTCCGATATACTGTTGACGCAAGCGTAGAGTTTTAGGTCATCAGCATACAAAAGACATTCTGCATGTTGAGGAACCTCCGGGAGATCATTGATCATTAAAAGAAACAGCAAAGGACCGAGAATTGAGCCCTGACTTACGCCTGAACGAGTGTGGTACGTGTTGGACTCGTAAATGCCCAACCTCACGTACTGCTGGCGGTCACGAAGGTAATCGGCCAATAGACGCAGAAGGTTAGGGCATACACCTATGGAGTTAAGTTTCGCGAGCAAGATATCATTGTTGATGCGGTCAAATGCCTTCCGAAAGTCAAAATATAGGACGTCCACCTGCTGCCCTCTGTCAAGTTGTGATGAGATATACTCCGTTAAAGTTAATAAGTTAGATTCGACAGATCTCCTACGTCTAAAACCATGTTGAGCATTACTTAAGTATTTCTCAACTTGTGCGTATATAAGTTTATGGAGCACATTTTCGAAAACTTTAGCGGATGATGATAGAATAGCAATTGGCCGGTATTCCTCTACAGCTGTTTTGTTAGACGTTTTAGGTATTGGGGTTACACGTGACACTTTCCATTGAAGAGGATAACAACCAGTTTTTAGTGATAAGTTAAATATATGGCAAAGTGGAGAGACAAATGAGTCCTTAAGATTTTTAAGAATCGTGGCTGGTATACCATCCGGACCTACAGAATTACTGACTTTTAGTTTATTCAACCCATCTAACACATCCTTACGAGAAAACCGAAGAATGTTGATATAATTACTGTTTTTTGTAACGTCGGCGTTGTTGGTATTGGTGGCGTCTAATAGTGGTATATCTGGCAGAAACACGCTGGCAAAAAACCTGGCGAAAGCCTGCGCGGCTGCAGTACCACTGTAACTGTCACCACAATAGCTCACCGAAGGCTCGAACCCACCCTTAGATCTTAAACTGCATATATGTCGCCAAAATTCACGCGGATTGACTCTTATGTTACTTTCGACCGTTCTAATATATGATTGATATGCAGAAGCAACGCGATGTTTAAGGCAAGTTCTAAGATCCGAAAAAGTCCTATAGTCTTCCTGGCGTTTAGAGCGCTTCCAAATAGCGTGCAGTGTGTGCTTTCGTTTGATATCTTTAGTTATTTCCGACGTAAACCATACGGGGTATCGCCTAGTTATTTTCCCAGAACGATGCTTCTTGGGCATGCAGGTATCGAAAGTGTCATAGACAATCTGATAAAAGGCATTCACCGCACCCGCAACGGTATGGGCCTGGAATACAGGATCCCAAGATGTCTCTGACAATAGCGAATAAAGCTGGTCGTAATTACATTTATAAAAATTCCAATCTTTCGCGGGGTTAATGTTGCTTGGATCCATTACATTAGAACAATGAACTGATTCAATTCTTACCTCAACGTCCAGCGGAGGGTGATAAGCATCCGGCTGAACAATACCATCAACATCAGATACAGACACCTCGTGAAAACCTTCCCTGACTAGTACAACATCCAATTTGCCACCATGGACATTTAAGATATCATTTTTATCAACTAAACAACAAAACGACAAAAAGTAGCAGTAGTAATTAACTATATTATTTGATGCGCTATTCAAATTGAGATCACCCATTATAATAACGAAACCCTTAAAATTATTGACGAAACTTTCGGTTTTGCAAAACCAGTTCATATAGTCTTCATCACTAGCACTTGGTTTGATATACACTACACACACTAGGAATGAGAGACCATGCCACACAAAGGACGCCCACAAATCTTCGCCGCTTTTAGTTTCATACTCGCACCTCCTGCGAAGTACGAGAGGAGTTCGCGCCGCTAGGAGGACGCCTCCACAAGGCGTATCTCTGTCTCGGCGCAGAACACGCCAGTCACCACTTTCGAGCTCCGAATCTAAGACTGAAGAGTCCAGGAAGGTTTCAGTAGCAGCGACGATGTATAGTAGTGACCTACGTCATCGAAATGTCTTTAAATTAAAGATTATTGTTTCTGGATTTGACTGTACCTGTGTCGGCTTGTGCCACTCTAATATGAGAGTTATTATAAAGCATTACATCTTACCCTTCTCTCCAAATACTGCTGTAACTATAGACATAAAATATTCGTGATAAAATAATCAATTTGGGGCATAAGGAACTACTGAATTGACTGACTGCCTCATTGGCCGAGTGGTTGCAAGTGCGACTGCCGTGCAAGGGGTCTCGGGTTCGATTCCCGGGTCGGGCAAAGTATTAATCGGATTTAAAAAAAATCTCAGTAGTAGCACGGAGCCTGGAATTTTACCCGGCATATGGCAATAGGCTCACACCCTATTATATGGGACTCATAACATAAATAATGAAAGTGGGTGTTACATTGTACAGTAACATAATGTGCACTTCTGCCTACCCATTCGAGGATAAAAGGCGTGATGATATTATGTAACTACTGAATGTTTTGGCAAAGTTGCCATCCCTTGAATGCCTAGGTATATTTAAGACACAATAGAAAATACATTGTCTCGCGTTGATCCCCTTTTAGGCACACAATGGGTTAAGCGTTAATCCCAGAAGAGGAGGAAGTTCAACTAATGTTAATTAAGGAATTTTAATTCAAGTGTGGGAGAGTCGCATGACTCTCTCACACTTGAATTCTTCTCTCTCACTTCGGCATGAATGGGCCGGCTCGACCGTAGTGATACCACGGCCTCACAGAAAACCGACGTGAAGCAACGCTTGCGTTGTGTTTCGTCGTGTAAGTGAGGTTACCGGGGGCCCAGCTCCCTCCCTCCTTCCCCAATCTCCCCAATCCCTGAATCCCCAACAACCTTCAAACTCCTAATCCTCAAAAGGCCGGTAACGCACTTGTAACGCTTTTGGTGTTCCAGGTGTCCATGGGCGACGCCGATTGCTTACCATCATGTATTCCGTCGGCCCGTTTACGGAATTTGCCATAAAAAAAACACTTTAAGGCATTAACTGGACAGTGGACACAATAATAAACTTCGTTCTCTAAGTATTGAGTTTTGTAAAAAATCCAACAAAGTTATTTCTGATTTGGCAGTTGATCTTAAGACCCTAATTTCCTTATTCTATGCCCTACTTAGCAATTATCCTTGCAATTACTTTACTAACGACCAAAATCCATTTGACATAAATGTTCCTAAC